CGTCACTTCATTTGACTTATAAGTAACTGCAATGATAAGGACATGTCCTGTGACTGCTAAATATTGTTATATATATTTTTTTATAAATAGAACGATTGGATTTCTAAAATTAATTGAATTGATTTAAGATTAACGTGCATATTTGTTTGTTGTGTTACAAATTGAATGGAAATGAATACGTAAAAATTCTGCATTTACATCGGTACAAATTCGGATGAAAAGATCGCCTCCCATTGACAATCAATTATAGCATATTTATGACCGATTACTTCAGGTATTTATAATTAAAAAGGAAATCTGTCAAATTTATTCAATTATTGTTGGATAAACATAAAACACAGCATGATAAATTTATCAAAAGTTTTAATCGGTTAGTGGATTAACTATAATCATAAAATAAATTGGCTATATATATCGAAAATAAATCTATGCATATTATCATCCTTTGAGCAACGCATTATTGGATCACAAATTATTTAAAATATAATTACCCAATTTTCTTTACTCTCTTATTTTTTTTTCTTTCTTCTTTTAATTCGATTTCATGTACATGAAAAATACAATTGTATTATTTTTATATATTTTTTATTCTTTCTAAGATGATAAAGAATTCATTTAAATCATTATTATTGGCTTTTGTTGGCATTACCACTTGTTTGGTAATTGTCGGAAGCGCGTATTCTTGTGATCCTTCAACTTGCAAATCTCCAAAATGTTTTTGTGCTGGAACAACTCCTCCTGGAGGTCTTTCTCTGGACGACACTCCGCAATTTGTCTTGTTTACTTCTGGTATATATTTGTTACATGTTTGTTTCATTTCGTTTTGTTATTTATTACTTTTAGTTGACAGCTCTTCTTTTTAGATGATTCTATTCAAGCTAGCACTATTGCAGGTATATAATTTATGAATTAGTTGGTGTAATAAAGTGAAACATGGCATATATTCAATTTTCAATTCTCCTTTAGTTGTAAACCAATTATTGGGAACTAGGAAAAATCCTAATGGGTACGTACTTGGCTTTTCACGTGATTGTACCGATCTTTAATTCTAACGGACGTACGTACACATTACGAATTTTTTAGATGTCCTATCAAATCTACTTATTATACTAGTATTCAATACACAAATTTTTCTATGGTCACTGAATGGTACGCCAGTGGTCATGAGGTTGCTGACCATACCATCACTCATGTCGGGCCAAGTCCTGAAGGTAAGTCCATTTACTCCCAATTTGCCAAGTATTATTAACATTAATTTTAAAATATTAATATATACAGTATATATATTTTAATATATTTTAATAGATGAAATTACTGGATGTAAGTTGGCACTCAATGCATTTGCCGGCATTCCGAATGCCAAAATTAGTGGTTTTCGAACGTAAGTTTGCAATTTCATTTACAATGATCCTTGATTATGATCTTTTAATTCATCTGTTAACAATTTATCATAGCCCATATCTAAATTGGACGGTGGATACTTTTAATACTCTTTCGAAATTAGGTTTCGAATACGATTCGAGTGTTACAGCTTTGGTAAATAAAATTTTCGCAATAGTTTGATTTGATTACCCCTTAATTATACTATCATTAAAATATTTTTGTCGTTTAAAAAAGAATGATGATGCATCTTGGCCTTACACTTTAGACAATGGTCTTTATAATGATTGTTGGAAAGGTTTTTGTGATCCTGCAAAACTAAAAATTCCGGGATTCTTTGAAATTCCAATGTCTGCCCTTATCGGTATGTATACAAATATACGTTTATATCAATATTTTAATTTTGTTAACAAAAGTTATTATCAACTTTTAGATGAACAAGGACTACCTCATTTAATGGATCCATATCTCGATAATACTACTGATGTTGTAAAAAAATGGTTGCAGGATAATTTCAATCGTCATCTTAAACAAGGAAAAACTCCATTCGGTATATATTAATTTCCACTTTTTATCACGAATTATCACGTATTATCACATATGCTCGTTAATCTTACTTTTTGCAAACTTATCACAACCTAGGTGTTTATATTCATCCTATTCAACTCAGCCCTCTAATTCCTAACAGAAGTAATGATCTTTGCATTTCTAATTTGTCTCTATTTTTAAATCTTATA